ACATTTCTCTTGTTTATAAATTACCCAGTCTAAGGTATTTTGTTATAGTAGCCCAAATGTACTAAAAATTGGTACTGAGAAGTGGGGATGTTGCCATATATGTGTATATATATATATATATATATACACACACACACACACACACACATGCACACACACATATGTGTGTGCGTGTGTGTATGTGTGTGTGTGTGTGTATATGTGTGTATATATATATACCTAAAAATGTGGAGGTGGCTTTGGAACTGGGTAATTGATAAAAGTTGGAAGAGTTTTGGAGTGCATGCTAGAGAAAGCCTATACTGGTATGAACAGATTGTAAAGGGCATATCTGGTGGAGGCTCAGAACAAAAAGAGAGCTGTACAGAAACCCTAAATGTACTAGAGATTACCTAAAAGGCAGTGAACAGAATACTGGTAGAAATATGAACATTAAAGGCTATTCTGATAAGGTTTCAGATGGAAATGTGGAACAAATTATTGGAAACTGCAGGAAAGGCAATTATTGTTTTAGAGTGGCAAATAATTTGACTGATTGTGTTTGTGCCTTAGTGTTTTGTGGAAGGAGAAACTTGTGAGTGATGAAATAGGATATTTGGCAGAAGAAATATCTAAGAAAAATGTTGAAGGAGCAGCATGGCTTCTCTTGACTACTTATAGTAAAATGTAAGAAGAGAGAGGTAATTTAGGGACATAATTTACAAGCAAAAGGGAAGCAGAACTTAAAGATTTGGAAAATTCTCAGCCTTCTCAGCCTATCTTATAAGAAACGAGAAAGAATGTTTGAAAGACTGCATCAAGGCTGTGGATGAAGAGATCATTATTGGCCATCCCTGTGCTATTCATCAAGATGATTGAAGAGTTATCCTGAAGGCATTTTGGAGATCTTTAGGGCTGCCTTTCTCATCACAGAGTCAAAGTTCCAAAATATTGAGAACAGAATGATTTCAAAGGAGAGGTACAGAGTGCCTGTGGAACCACAGGGCTCACTGCCAAGCACCGATTCAAGTCTCTGTTCACTGAATTCAGGTGTAGGGCTCACTGCCCAGCCACCCCACGTGTGGCTTCAGTGGGCTCAGGTGTGGTGTGAGCCACAGTAGCTGTCCTTCTAGGGGGAAGAGGTGATAAAACTTGGCCACATACACATGGTGCAAACTTTTCTAGTGCACATAGTACAAGAGCTGTGGGGGTATATTTGCTTCCACCTAGGTTTCAAAAGGTGCCCTAGAGAGCCTCAGGCCCCAGACAGAGAATATCCACAGAGGTGGGCTTACTGCAGAGCTTCCCAACTAGGGCAATGTCTAATGGAGCTGTAGGGGCAGGGTCACCACAGACCCTTACTTCAACAGTATCTAGTGGAGCAGTGGGTAGTGGAGCCCCCTCCAAAACTCCAAAATAGTAGAGCCACCAGCATGCAACTTTAGCCTAGAAGAGCCACAGACACCTGACATCAACTAGGCAAACCAAGGGAATAGACTGCCTGTAGTCTTAGGAACCACATCCTATTCCAATTTGTCTGGAAAGCAAGACATAGAGTTAAAGACAAGACATATTCTCAAGTTTTAAGATTTAATGTTATTTGCTTTGCTAAATTTTGAACCTACTTGAAATATTACCCCTTTTTCTTTTCTATTTCTCCCTTTTGGAATGAGATTGTCTATCCTAGGACTGTCCCTTGTTCCACAGTTATATTTTGGAAGCAAATAACTTGTTTGATTTCAGAGGTTCCAGCTGGAGAACAAATTGTGTCAGGATGAATCATACCTTGAGTGCCACCCAAATCTGATTTAGATGATATTTAGATAAAACTCTGGACTTTTTAGACTTTGGAGTTAATATTGAAATGAGTTAAGATGTTGGAGTGTTGGGATGGAATAAATGTATTTTGCACGTGAGAAGGACATGAACTTGGGATGTTCAATTATGGAATTGCTATGGTCTGAATGTGTCCTCCCAAATTCATGTGTTAAAACCTAATCCCTTATCTCCCAAGAGATAAGGCCTTTGGGAGATGACTAGGTCCTGAGGACTCTGCCATCATGAATAGGATTAGTGCCATTATAAAAGATGCCTGAGAGAGTTTGTTCAACCCATCTTCTTCTACCATATAAGGATGCAACAAGAAGCCACTATCTCTAAAATGGTGCTTACCAGATACTGAATCTGCTGGTGCTTTGATCTTGGACTTCCCAGCCCCCAGAACTGGTAGCAATAAATTTATGTTGTTGATAAATTACTTAGTGTAAGGTATTTTATGATAGCAGCCTGAATGAACCAAGATACCCTCTAAGAATATGTAACCTACATTAATGGCAAGAAGGTTGCCTGC